TTTATTTCATGATGATATCTTCAATTTTCTAATTTTGATGAATATTTTTGTAATTTTTGGTGAAAAGTGATATTTTTCGACTTCTTGTTGAAAACCGCAAGTCCAATTGCTTGATATTACATATATAGGTACTACATGTGTACCTCTCTCAGATGTGTTCATTTCAGGATGATATCTTCAATTCTATAATTTCGGTGAATATTTTTGTCATTTTTGGTAAAAAGTGATATTTTCGACTTCTTGTTAAAAACCACAAGTCCGATTGCTTTGATATTACATATATAGGTACTACATGTGGACCTCTTTCAAATTTGTTAATTTCGTGGTGATATCTTCAGTTATCTAATTTTGATGATTATTTTTGTCATTTTTAGTGAAAAGTGATATTTTTGAATTCTTGTTGAAAACAGCAAGTCTACATATTGTTCATTTTCTAATGATATTTTCTGTTCTTTAATTTAAATGTGCATTGCTAACAGTGGAGCTATCTCAGCCGACAGGCTGCTTGTTATAAATTGGGGTCATTTTAGCAGTTTTGAGAGATTCTGAGAAAATTCCTTGGCTCAGTGAACAATTGATAATATGTGCGAGAGGATGAGAGATTAGGTGCGCAGCGTCTCTTGCTAGTTTTGGGTGAATGCTGTCATGTCCAACAGATTTGTTCAGGGCAAGGGAAATAATTTCTTTAAAAACACCGCTGTCCCTTACAGGATGGAAGAAGAAAGAGTTTAGATAATTGCCAGTTAGTCGGTTTGACATTTCTATCTGTCCAATACTAAACCAAGAAATGTTGTTTCCTATGAAGTTTTTTTATTGATTTACATTCATATGGGACCAAAGAACAATTTTAGCTTGGTTGCCAAAATTGCAACATTGGGCAACTCTGCTAATTTGCATAATCCAAGATGGCCACCAAACGTCATCTGGAAAATTAAACTTTTGACCCGTTTGTCCTAGAATAATGTGCAATACCTCTTTTTAATGGTTTTTCTGTGTATACAATATATTCCTGGTGTTATTTTGCTGGTTAATCTCATGTGTGAAAGCCCAGGGCGAAGCTTAGGTTAGAACACAAAATAAAAATAACAAATTTATCAACATTCATAATTAACTTTATTCATGTTTTCTTTCTGTGAAATCTGTAATTACATGACACAAAAATGGTATTCATAATAAGTGTAAAATAACACAATAAGTAGATAGTCTTAATATTTTATATCTGAAATTAGAAATCTGTATGCTCCCACTCATTATCAGGATCAGAAAGACTACTCTCCACATCTTCCTGTTCCGCATCATCATCAAAATCTTCCTCAGCATTCTGGTCAACATTATCCTGAAAAGTCTCCACATCATCCTCCATGTCTACACCCACTTCGTCTGTAACTTCAACATCTCGTCTGTTCGTGTATGGATTGCAGCAGCCATATTCACCAGAGCAATTACAGTATGACGTGCATGAAAGATGTTCTTTGTGGCAGCCACATGCCTCAGTGATACATTTTTTACCTTGTGCTTTGCATTGACACTGAATCACATCAATTAGTTCTGGCGGTACTGGGTCACCCTTAGCACTGACAGGAACTGGGGTACTCTCCTGGATCTTCCAGGATCTCCTGGAACTTGATCGTCTGCTGCTTTCCACAACATCACTTGTAAATGAGCCCTTAAAACATGCTGCAAGAGGTTGGGTGTCGTTGGAGGAAGTGCCATCACTTTAGGATATTTCTTCTTTTTGGTGAACAATGTAAAGCGGGCAGATTCCA